TCTGCTTATAAACCGCTCGCTGGGTGGTGTTGCCTGAAAAAATTCTTAGATAGTGATTTGTCCTCAAGTGTGTCGTTGCCAAATGTACGGTTTATTGCTAGTGCTTTTACAATGTTTTGGGAGTTTTTCTGGATGATGGAACGCAAATTATACTTCAGTTCGAAGTGCTCTTTAGGAAACAGCAATGACATCTCTAAACGCGTATCAGCAGCAGAGTTTAGCTGAAGATACGCAAGAATATAAGACAAGTCATTTTTTCTTTACAAGAATCAGAGGCATTTAGTTATAATAATTAAGATACATCAACGGTGTAAAATAGTAAAATGAGCACATATATCAGATAGCCTCGCTTGAACACCACAGCTTCAATACTTGGCGTCTTACTTATATGAATAATTTCCCAAAATTACGACCCCAATATTGAATTCTAATTTAACTGTTGTCCAAAGAGTAGCAGCGAGCCCACAATTTAATCTATAGCTTAATCATGTGGTCGAAATGTTCTTTATGTTCCATAAAATCGTAAATCGAACAATCAGTCTGATTCTGTGGAATTTTCATTCTTCAAACGCCCGACAAATTGCACAATCTCCACCAGAGCGCACTATTCTCTCAGTGTGCCCGCCCAAAATGTGAAAGCGCTGCACTTGGGTATAGCAGGTGCGCCGAGCATAGGTAATAGTCCACGGCAGCAATAAAAGCGATGGTGGCGCGTCACAAAGTAATACTGTTTTTTTGTTGATATATTTGTAGCCGATGAGAGGAAGCAAGCGATTCTTCCTGGTTCAAAACAGTTATCAGTGAAAAAATTGCTCCTTTTAAACAGTCAGCGCCGTGGTAGCGTATATCATTGTCGTCACACCAGAGAGATGATAGTTTATTAGCCAACAATGCAGAATACAGTATAGGATAGAGCACAACGATATAGATCACTGGGCAGGAAGTATTGCGTAATGGACGACGGTGATTATAGCGTTGGAACTGGAAAGCTGCAGCCCTGAACGGTGGAAGATAGGAGGCGTGAGATGCCGCTTGGCAGATGTACATGAGGAGTTTTTTACCGAGATGCATACCATCGGCCACGCCCTGTAAAAGGGATGAATCAGCTATGATTGTGTGGCATACAGAAGATGTTAAACTTAGATAACAGCGCGAAGAGCTCTGCTCTCCTCCCCCCTTTTCTTCAAGTCCGTTCCGGACTTCGAAAGAAGAAGGTAACGAAATAATATAATGGAAGCTTACCATTGGAT